TCAAAATGTTTGAAGACTTCATTCAAATCAATCATGAAGACACCACTTAATGCAAGACCAGGCTCTTGTAACAGACTCCTATTAGTTTCCGGACACATATTAGGCACATCTGCTAAGAACTAATGTGCCCAAATTGCCAATGTTCCAAGACAAGTTTGCTAAAATGAGAATCCACTGAAGTGCCAACAACCTAACAGTTTAGAGCAGCGGTTCTCAACCTGTCAAGGGTCGAATGACCCTTTCACAGGGGTTGCCTAAGATAACGGAAAACACATATATAATTACATATTGTTTTGTGATTAATCACTATGCTTTAATTATGTTCAATTTGTAACAATGAAAATACATCCTGCATATCAGATATTTACATTATGATTCATAACAGTAGCAAAATTACAGTTATGAAGTAGCAATGAAAATAATTTTATGGTTGGGGGTCACCACAACATGAGGAACTGTATTAAAGGGTCATGGCATCAGGAAGGTTGAGAACCACTGGTTAAGAGCATGAAGGATATTTGCTTTGTCACTAAAATAACAATTTCTATGGGACATATGAAGTAAAATCCAAAGGATAGAAGAAAAACATTTAAATATCCCTTAAAAGACATCAATTAAGGTAGAGTTTTTGAAAGTTCTATTGACAAGAGCCTATGCCTTTAAAATAGACAGAGGTTCTCAGGGCTATAGAGTCCAAATGCCACAAGAGAAAACCCTCATCTACTCTAGGAAGGTTGAGAACCACTGGTTTAGAGCATGAAGGATATTTGCTTTGTCACCAAAATAACAATTTCTATGGGGCATATGAAGTAAAATCCAAAGGATAGAAGAAAAAAATTTAAATATCCCTTTTAAGACATCAATTAAGGCAGAGTTTTTGAACTTTCTATTGACAAGAGCCTATGCCTTTAAAATAGACGGAAGTTCTCAGGGCTGTAGAGTCCAAATGCCACAAGAGAAAACCCTCATCTACTACAGTTACCTTTGTCTATCAGGGCTGCCATCTCTTGCTTGCCAGACAGCTACCTTAGCTGGCAATGGAGCAGGGCACATTGTAGTTTTCTCTTCATGGGAATCCTACTTGGTGCTCTCCATCCTTGGCACACTTCACTTAGGGTACGGGAAGGATGGCAGGAAGGGAGGGCGGAAACTTGCTAATTATGGTAAAAACAGAATAGGAAATTTATTTAGAGGAAGAATTTGTTAGTAGAGATTTAGTTTATTTTTAAAAGGCAAAGTAAGCAGAAGAAAATAGAAGTGTTTATTGTTTTAAATTGTGGTAAATGCAAGAAATTAGAACAAACAAAACACCATACTTTAAATCAAGAGTCAGCAAACTATGGCCCATAGGCAAAATCCAGCCAGCCACAAAGTGTGGGGAGAAGGGGGACACTTGCAATTATGTCAACATTAAAGTTTTTTAATTAAAAAAAATAGAATTTAGCTCATCTGGTATGGTTCAGTGGTTGAGTATTGACACATGAACCAGGAAGTCACTGGTTCAATTCCTGGTCAGGGCACATGCCTGGGTTGCAGGCTGGATGTCCAGTAAGGGGCATGCAGGAGGCAGCTGATCAATGTTTCTCTCTCATTGATGTTTCTATCTCTCTATCCCTCTGTCTTCCTCTCCCTCTCTCTAAAAAAAATCAATAAAAACATATATAAAGAAGAAATTTATTACCAACAAAAGAATGTAAATAAAACTTTATTGGAACAAGGCCACACCTATTTGTTTAAGTATTATATGTGGCTGCTTTCTTGAGGTAACAGCAGAGATGAATACTTACAACAGAGACCATAAGGACTGCAAAGCCTCAAATGCTTACTTTATGGCTCTCTATGGAAATGTTGCAGATCCTGATTTTTCTCTTCCAGTACTCTTACCCCACCTTACTTATACCCCTTATTCCTAATAAAACTTTAAAATTTCCTCTTGATGCTTCCAAATGGCAACTCCAACTATACCATAATCAAAAGTGCCCACATCCTAATTTTCTTCCATTACAAACACACAGTCTTGGTTGGTGGTGAATTTGAAAATGGAAGAAACTGACAGACCCCAGAACCCTTGGAAGCTGGGTGTGGTAGGCTTGGAGAGGTCTGGAAGGCTAAGCTATATTTCGTGCTATGAATTTTAGAGCTTTAGCATCTAGAATATCTAAGTCATAGCTTGATCTGGGTAAGCCCTCTGAGGTCAGCTCTGACCTCTTATCTGTTTCTGGAACAGATTCTTGAGCCTAATCTAAACTAAATATAATGGAATCTCAATAATAGCCTACCTTCATCCCAAACCAATTACAGCTGACTAGAAAAAGCCAAATCAGAGGCCTGTTGCTGCTCATTTCTAAGCTCTTTACTGAATTTCTTTGTTTATTTTAAAATGTGGTAGAACTGGGTACAAAATTAGAATGGGGAACAAGAGTATATTTTTATAAGCAAAGGACTGCTAAATGCTTATTGAGGGTTAAAACTCACAGGAAGAACTTTTTTTTAGGCCCTTAAATAATAAGAAATACTTAAAAAAATCTTTGCTACAAAACACAAGTTTTTCAGAATCAAATTTGAACTAGATTAGGAGTACTTTGATTGTCTGAAACTGTAAAACCCAAAGGAAAATATGCATAGGGGCCTTGGAACTATGGAATTAGAAATTTTAGCTAGGTAAAGACTGTCATCTCTCTCTCTCTCTCTCCTGCTTGCCCCTCCTCTGCTTCTATTTTCCTCTTCCCAAAGTAGACATATTAGTCAGGGTTTCTCAGAGAAACAGAACAACAGGATTGTATGTGTGTGTGCATATGGAGGGAGAGAGAAAGATTTATTTTAAGGAATTGACTCATTTGATGATAGAAGCTTGGCAAGTCCAAAATCTGCAGGGTGGGCCAGCATCCTAGAGGCCCAGGAAAGAGTTTCAGTTCAAGTCTGAAGGCAGTCTGCTGGTCAAACTCCCTTTCCCAGGTCAGTCTTTTTTTAAGTCCTTCAACTGGTTGGATGAGGCCCACCCACATTATGGAGACTAATTTGCTTTATTCAATGTTTACTGACTTAAATGTTAAGTCAGTAAAAGTGTCTTCACAGAAACATCTAGAATGTTTGACTCAATATCTGTGAACCATGGCCTAGCCAAGTTGACATAAAATTAACCACCAGAGTAGGAAAGATGGGGAATGAAGAAGAATGAACCATTCTTCTTAGTTCTGGTCCAAAATTCTCAAGAAAGTACTCTGATTTGTTCAGGTAGGTGAGGTGCCCACCACTAGGCCAAACAATTTTAATCAGGAGTGGTGTCTGGAGAAAGGATTGCTCACTTGAGCTGCCCCTGATTGGCAAATCTATTGTGCTAGGGAAGGGGTGGAGGCAGGTTTACCTCATACAAAATAGTAGGCAAGTACAAAAGAAGATGTTTCATAAGTGGGAAATCATTGATTAATAGCTTGTGAATGTAACTTTAAGATGTTAACATATTTTTTTCATTTAATGATGGAATAACTCATTTGTTTTGAAATGCTTTTTAAAAAAGATTATGTATTTACTAGAGGCCTGGTGCACAAAAATTTGTGCACTCAGGGGTGGGGGGTCCCTCAGCCCGGCCTGTGCCCTCTCGCAGTCTGGGACCCCTCGGGGGATGACCACCTGCTGGCTTAGACCTGCTCCCCAGGGGATTGGGCCTAAGATGGCAATCAGACATCCCTCTGGCAGCCCGGCAG